CTGTTCTTCAACCTCTTCTGCATAGAAGAATCCCCCCAGTAACAGCCTTCAACATACACTTAAGGTTGTTCCATAGCAGGCTAAGCCTACATCAGGAAGTAAGAGGTTGTACTAGAAAAAGAAATCCTGCCTTGCAGTGAATGGAAAAAAAATAAAAATCTAACAGTGATCTCAGCTGAACTATGGCAGTGCCTGCTTAGCTAGTAAGACTGTTTGATGATTGAGTCTAAGAAGCTCTAAGGCAAAACTAGGTGCAAAGGCCCAAGCTTTGCACAGCAGCACTGACATGCAGCTTCCATATTTAAAGCTGAAAAAAGATACAATTTCAGAAAGTAATAATGTAGGCAAAACAAATTCTAAAAAGAGAAAGACAAAATCAAAGGTGCATAGATTAAGCAATTTGCCCCAGCTCACTTCTAAAAAGAGAAAGACAAAATCAAAGATGTATAGATTAAGCAATTTGCCCCAGCTCATGAGATCCATGGCACAGCCAAAGTCTTTGTCCACTTCCTCAGTCCCAAAACCATCTTGGCCTTTCTTTAGCTCTAAGAATCCATCCATTAAAATTAAGCAGCAGTACAAACCATCAGTAGTATCATTAGCCTCAAGAGCAATAATTCGCTGTGCAACAATATCTCCTCCCATCTCTGTCTTCAGAACACATTTATTTGAAGTAAGACAGACAAAAATAGCTGCTAGAATGTTTTGAACCTAGTTTGGCCTTCAAATTAGCAACAGACCAGAAGAATGATGGTATTACTGCCTCAACACAGGCATCAATCAAACTCATTCCTACATCCAAAAGACTGAGCTCTGAAGTCAGCCAAGTTCTGAATATGAGGGTTACAAAACTCTAAAACAACAAATTGCACAAGAGACTTTATAGCAAAGTTTATTGCTTCCAGAACACAAAACAAAACAAGCTTTTAAAAATTACACATTCTTATCAGCAAGGGACAGCATTTGATCTTCATTCTATCCTGTATCTTAAAATTTTATCTGATCTCAGAGAAATGAACTAGATGCAAAATGAGAGAATTTCATTCTACATTAACATATCTAATCAGCCTCTTAGAGCAAGGAAGACCTTAAACCAGAATGTAAATGATGAGAGCAAGGGAGCTAAAATTTTAAGCGCTAAAAAAAAAATTAAAATCTAAAAATAATTTAAAAAATACAAAAACTTGTGGGCTTGTACAGAGGTGATCAGGGAATTTGCACAGTCCTGCTGGCAAGAACTGCTAGACTAACACATTCCTCAAATGGCATTTTGCCTTCGAAGGGCCGAAACGCTTGAATTGTGTGCCTGTCTTTGCTTTGTCCATGATTCGAGAGAAAATGCTGAAGCATCAATCCTTCAACAGCAGCAAAGCAATCCTGGAAGGTCTAACCCTCCTGGGGTAGCCAGGGAGAGCTGCGCCCAGGGTGGCCACAAGAGGCTGTGCGAGAGCCACGCTGAGCCTCCCGGCAGAGCTGAGCTCGGCTCCCAGCGCTGAGCAAGCACAGAACACGGACACACTGTTTCCACAGTGCCACATCAACCTACTCGCAAGACCTCACCTGAGACTGTGTGCATTCAGTTCTTTCAGATGCATTCACAGAGAGCATTGGCCAAGCTGCAATCTACTCTGAGCAAGGTACTGTTAAAAATACCCAAGCTATAAACAACTCCTTAATGAATCTCTGCAAATACACACTCATTAGTGTGTATAAGAGGTAAGGTAAGAGGATTGGAGCACCTCACCTATGCAGGCAGGCTGAGAACGTTGGAAAAGAGAAGGTTGTGTGGAGACCTCACAGCAGCCTTCCAGTATCTGAAGGGGCTACAGGAAACTGGAGAGGGACTCTCCTTTAGGAACTGCAGGTATAGGACAAGGGGTAATGGGGATAAATTTAAAGGGGGAAATTTAGCTCAGAGATTAGGAAGAAATTTTTTACTGTGAGAGTGGTAAGAACCTGGAATAGGCTGCCCAGGAAGGTTGTGGATGTCCCAACCCTGGCAGTGTTCGAAGCCAGTTTGGATAAAGCCTTGAGCAACCTGCTCTGGTGAGAGATATCTGTGCCCAGGGCACGGGGGTTTGGGACCAGATGATCTTGAAGGTCCCTTCCAACCCCTTAACATTCTATGACTATTAAGTTCAAAACCTGATTTTGAATGTTAGAGCCTGTATGATACAAAGGTCATGAGTCAAATGGCACCAGTGGCAAAGGGGATGTTCCCCTGGGCTTCTCAGGACACCACATCTCTACCAGATGGCACTTTTTGGAGATAGACTGCAGTACAAGTTGGGTTTGTATCGTGGCTTCCACATTTTTATTTCACCAGTCAATAAAGCACAGGAAGAGACAGGAAGGCCCAGAAGCATAAGCACTGAACAAAATATTATTGAAAGGGTCTCTCACCCAATTCACTGTTGTCATCCACCAAAATGATTTCATGCAGAAGGTGAGCAGGAGTGCGATCCAGGACACTGTGCACTGTGCGGAGCAGGGCAGAAAGTGCTTCATTGTAGAAACAGATAACAACACTGGCAGAGGGCAGATCAGCAGGGTAGGACTTCTCTCTACATCTGCAAACAGGAAAAGAGTAGTTGCCACTATTTTCAGAGGGATTTCCATACAGATAGGTCACTACTGATACTTCATAAATAACAAGCAAACATTACATATGTAGGAGGAACCTCTAACTTGAACATAAAGAGCTCAGACACAAAGTATCTATAGTCGGGCTCAGCATAGTAAACTACTCTCCACATGGTACTGACTTCCAATCGACATTGCTGCTTGTTAGAAAACAGGGTATCGTGGATTGGGGTGGGAGTAAGAATCACAGATCCCCAAAACAACAAGAACAGAAGATACTAAGGACTTGTTTCAGCTGTCAGAACACTGTCTAGTACCCTTAGGTAGCTCAGATATGTACAGGAATGGCAAATAAGACATGAGGCCCACAAAACCACCACAACTTTATTGGCCAGCTGCTGAAGACTAGCTCAGTGCAGGGCCCCTCAGTTCAGGAAGGAAGGACATCCCAGAATACCTGCAATGGTGCTAAATACCTATTTAGACAACCAAGGCTGGGATTCAGAGGGCAGATTAAGACACTTAAGTCTGGTCACTGCTGTCAGTGGAGTCTAAATAGTGTTCAGCTCACCCTAAGGCTGTCAAGCATGTTTTGTCAACTGAAGAGCACTGTATGCTTCATTAACTGCACTGACTGGATCTCTGCTAATTATAACAATAGCAGAGACAACTGACTAACAGGCAGTTATCTAAATTTAAGCATCTTAATCTGCAAGCTGAATCCCACTCAAAGCAAAAGATCCTTCTTTCTTTCTCATTTTCAAAGCTTGTCCATATTTCTGATAGGGCACAGCATCACAGATTAATGCCATATAAAAGATGCCAGACATAAGAGAATCCAATAAAAATTAGCAACTATAAATGAAAACCTGGAAATATACAAGAAAAGTCATCTTTGGCTAGGAATAAACTCAGCTCTGGGAGAGACATTTCACCAAGTACAATTCATTACATTCACCCACACCAGAGAAACCACTAGAGAAAGAGATGCAGGTTGATTTATTTTTCAGTTCAATGTCAGAGGGGTTTATTGTTGTTACAGTGGTGGGTTTTTTCCACCATATGCCCAAAACAGATTATAGAAAAATATCTGCTCTTTGACAGAAATTATTCAGAGCAGTGCAAGCCAAATACCAAGCAAAGATTTCAACTGAGAAACAGAGAGCCTTTGTCAGTCATTCTTCAATCTTATCCTCTGTAGGCTCACAACAAATGTGAAATAAGGTGAAAGTCTCTCATGAACTTGGGCACTGAAATACTTAACATCCATCTTCCAAACAGAATGAAAGCATCTCTTCTGGTAGTTACAGTGCAGACTATCTCAAAAGGGTGCTTCAAAAAGTAAAAACACTGAAGCATGTTGTAAGTAACTGGGTACACAACCAGCAAGATGAAACAGACTAGGATATTGAACCCTAGTATTGCTGGCAAGAAATTTTGATTCCTTTTCTGCATTGATTTTTATTTATTTTCAGAATCTTATTTCTATCAAAATAGCTGTCAGTCCCATTATTCACAAAAGTTAAATTAATACGATCAAATTGTGAATAAATGTATATCCAATCTGGTGGTTCATTAATCATTCTTCATTAATTCCTAAAGTGAATTAGGAGTCAGGAAAAAAGTGTTTTCAGGGAGTAGAAATCTTTCTTTTTTCAAGGAGCCTGGATTCTATGAGGCATTATCCATGTCATACCTTTTCCAGCTGGCAAAAATTTAGATCTCCAGAAAATATATTCAGCCAATAAAGAGAAGAGAGACCAAATAATAAAAATCCAAACCTCTAGCAGTCCTGTTTTAATACCTAAAAAATGTGCCTTGAGGCTGTAAGAGTGTTTAGCAGAAATGTAACAGCAAAAATGTTCAATACTATGTCAAGTATAATGTGAGAAACAAGTCCTTGAGCACATGAAATTATACAATGTTCTCTGCAAAAACTCCTACATACTTTGCATCCCTTGTATCAGGCACCTCCCTGTGGTATCCCAATCGATTACTGATAAGCATATTGAAAGCATGTTTCTGATAGCCCAAGTCTCTCACTTCCTGATCTTCTTCATTAAAAATCATTCCTGCAAAAGAAACACTAACATCAGTTAAGAAGCTCAAAAATTTCATTTGGAAGCAATCAAGGATTGAAAAGTATGCTTTGACCTCTCCTAAAACCCATTATGTTCTTTAAAATTCCTCTGGTTTTGCAAAGTGCATTTTTGTGCAACTATTTTTTTCTCCCTCTCACAAACAGACAGTACTTAGGAGTAGCCCTTGCAGCTGTAATAAAATTAAATACTTCTCCAAAGACTGATGGCTCCATTGTGTTTATTGCCTTACCAGACACACTCCCTTCACCTACATGGCCTCTAACTCTTAGCACCACCTTAAAGCAACATCAAACAAGCAACACAGGATAGACTTTTGCACAGATTGCATCTGCACCTATCCATACAGCTGACAGGTCTGTAATGAGAATTTTGAGAGAAAATACATTTACTATGATAGAAAAACCCTCCCAATAGCAGCTTCAATTTCATGCAGTTTTCTCAAGTCTGCAGTAACACAAAAACAGCTATGCAAGAACTGTAAACTTCTTGTTTATCTCACCTGGGATTTTTGACAGCAGTAAAACAGCAGCAGAGCTGCTGCTTAGTGATTATTTTAGCTGAAGCATCACCTGTTGCTGAGCACAGCAGAGAGAGCTGTTGGTGTAAGCAAGTGCACTGCTAGAGGCCTAGATGAAACCCTCAATGCCATCCTGCCTGCCTTGAGTCAGTGCCCATGGGCTTTACCTCATTGAGCCACTACTCAACAGTGTGAATAGAACGAAAACATTGTGGTACTTCACACAACTCTAAGAGGAGGGAGGGTGGCATCTGCCACCACCTCTGTCTGCTAGTCACTTCTGCAACAACTCAGGCAGCAGAGTAATTATGTTTTATGGTCTCTGTTCAATTGGCTGCACAGAATGAGATGCCTACGTCCTCTCCAGCTATTATCAACCTACACAGGCAATTTCTTTGAAATTCCAGTATAAGTGAGCAAGGAGGATCATGTAATTTATCTCCTTCCACTCAGCCCATCATCTCCATATTGCTCAATATCTGCAGAAAATAGTTAACAAGGAGGTTCCTCATTCACATATAACGATACATCCAGGATAGTGTGTTTCAAACATTCATAAACTAATTCAGGTTGGAAGTCTAATCTCCCTCCTCAAAGCAGATTCAGCTAGACTAGGTTGCTCAAAACTCATGAAGTTTTGAAAGCCTCCACTATCTTCAAGGATGGAGATTGTACAACCTCTTCATTTCCCTGTTCAAAAATTTGACCACCATCGCACTGAGAATGTTTTTCCCCTTCCATAACTGCAATCTCCTTGCTCCAATTTCTTATCATAATCCCATGCATTCTGGAAAAAATCTGGCTCCATCTTCCCTACAGCCTCCCATTAAGCTGTTGCTGACAGCAATAAAATCTATCTTCTCGGCCTTGTCTCTAAGACAGAATAAACTCAATCCTCTCAGCCTTTCTTCATACCTGCTGTTCTCCAGTTTACAACAGTGATGCAAAAGCCAGCTGAGCTCAAGGCCAGAGAAAATGAGATAGGTTGAAACACAAAATGTAAGAAAAGTTATTTCAAAAGTTTGGAAGCCTTTCTTCCTTTTCAAACAAGTAGTCCAGCTGGGCCTTCAGAGCACAGCTGTGTCACTACCAGTTGTCTCACCAACAAAGTCTAACTGTAGGTACCAGATGACATTTCCAGAGGGAATTCCATGCATCCACATTCCCACCATTTACATTTACCACCCTGTGGCTTTTAGTCTTCAGTACAGCAACAGCCATGCAGCTGCATTACCAAACACCTCAAGAGGACATGGCTTGACATCTGTGCAGGACCAAGTGGGAAGTGTTGGTCAGTGATACCTGCAAAAGATGTGGGATACACCCACACAGTGTCTTGTGGTTGGCTATTGTGCTCATGGATGAGTGCTCCCACTGTGGATAAGCTGCACTGTGAGGGCAGGAGTGAGATCTGTTTACCATGGCAGTGTCACTCCTCCTGGACTCCAAGTTTAAAGGGGTCAGTCAGTTCTCCTTTGAACCACACACATTTCCACAGAAAGGTCTCCAGCTGGTCAGTTCGACCCCTGCCTTAATCATTCTGGCTAACTCAGCACCACAGTAACACCATGCCACTGGGTCAGCTTCGAACATTTTCTTCATACCAAGCATGAGCTTAAAAAGCACCCCCCAGATGTTTCATTCTATTATCACAGAATATTAAGGTGTTGGAAGACCTTCAAGATCATCTAGTCCCATCCCCTCTACCATCGGCAAGGACACCTCCCACCAGACCAGGATGCTCAAGGCTTTATCCAACCTGACTTTGAACACTGCCAGGGTTGGGGTATTCACAACCTCTTTGGGTAATCTGTTCCAGTGTCTCACCACCCTGACAGTAAAAAACTTCCTAACATCAAATCTAAATTTCCTCTCTTTCAATCCACCCATACCCAACCACTAACTACTTTTGTTCTGATCTTCTGAATACATATAAGGAGTGCTAGTATTTTTAAAACATTCTCATGAAGAACAATATCATAAATGCATGCAAAACGCCTGAAAGGTTTCAGTCCAAAACGTAGATAAAAGCCCTTGGAAAATAAGGGGTTTGCAACCAAAACATCAACTTCAGCTTTATTTCAACAGTATTATGTGGCTCTCAGATTAAGGGAAAAAAAAAAAACAAGCCAACAGCAAGCTAGATTACCCTACCAGATGATAGTTTGGTTTTAACTATCCTATGCCAAATTTTTATTATTTTTTTTTTTGCTTTGCATGTTAGTCACTGGCCTACCCCAGACAGACAAGAAGCCTCTTCTTGCAGCACCTGATCCAAAAGCTGTCTCTTGATGATTCATGTAGAATTTATCCTGGCACTATAATTCCCCTTGGCTTTCACCAGCCAAACCACCCACTAGGTTTGGAGATCAATGGACTTCAAAGTTAAAAAGCTCCAATTTCTTTCCTGGCCCATACTGAATAGTTGGAAAGAAATGACCACCTCTGGACTGGCCTTCACCTTGCTTGGCTCTCAGGCTTTTTGCAGTGACCTGACAAACACTTGTAATGCCACAGGGAACATGAATTGGCATTTTTCTAATATATTCACACAGGTCTAATGACCAACTCAGAAACTGAAGTTTGGTAAAGTTCTTTACACTCTTGAAGTTTGTGATTCACTGTTCATCCAAAGTCATGACAGAGGACTTCAGTCAGATGTGACTATTAAACTCCTGGCTATGAAGATTATTGTGCCCTACTTCTCAAAGCAGCCACAAAACCCAATACCACAACACTCAGATCTGACTCCAGACTCTAAGCAAGTTTGCAAGCCAGTATGCAACATGCCTCAGTTTGCACATCTGAAGGCAGCAGTGACTAAGCTGTAAGCACTTAAATATACAAAGCATTTTAGTTTGGAAGACAAAACTAAATCCCATTGAGGAAATATGCTCTAGTGAAACATACAGATCTTTGTTGGTACAAAGTAAGCAGGATTTGGCTCTAACCACTGTCATCTCAATAAATCTTTCATTGCAATTCGGTCCTGCACACATTTCTTGTAAATTATTTCATACTTCAGGGATAGCCTCCAAATCAATGGGGTCTCCTCATCTTGTTTTGTTATCAAGCTATTTTTAATTAACGCATATGAGCAGCTTCTCTGTAGCTAATCAAAGCTCATGTATTAGAGCCCAATTAATGTAGGAGTAAGATATGAAATGAGCATAGACTGAATCTTCCAAAGGCATAAACTACATCAAGGGCAGACCTTGCTGTAATCCAGTCCTCCTCAGCAGCACTTACACAGCACAGCTGTAAATGTCAGAAATAGTGTATTTTGGATTAAGCACAGTAGAATAAATTTCAATTCCTAATGAAGAGAGCCACTAGTACCACCTGCATTTTAGAAAAAGTACTTCATTATACAGTTTTCCCTTACTATCTCATTTCTTCTATTGTTTTAGTAAGTTTGCCACCAACACTGAAAACCACTTACCCATTTCAGGAGAGAATTCTACCTCCCCCTTAACTGGGTCCTGGATATGATTCCCAAGAGAATTTCCTATCTTACTCTCTTTCTGTTGCAGCTCAGATACATGAACTGGCCCCCGTGTAAAACGGGGGTAGAATTTTTTGGGGAATGGCCTCTGAGGTTCCAGCCCCTTGATGGGCACATTCCTGAAGGATTGGTTCTCTTCACTGAAGTTGAAATAAACAAAGAGCAGCAGTGTCCAGGTCACGGATGTGAAAAGGCACCCATAGCAGAAATAGCGCAGTGTGACACTTCCCATTGTAGACTTAGCATCGTTGGGGACCCATCCTCAATTTCCTGAAAAAGAGTAGAAACACATTTTGAATGTTACCTCTTACCTCACACAGTCTGTGCATTAGGAAATGGACTCTATAGGTTATTCTTCCATTGAATGATTTCTGGAATTTAAACTTTAAGCCCTTAAGAATTAAATCCCTTTGCACTTTCCCATTCAAAAAAGAAACATGACCAGTTTGCACATTTTGTGTGGATATCACTGCTTTAAAATATGAACTGAACAATCACTAAGAGCCCAATGACACACTACAATGAAAGGCAAAAAATATTAACTTCTCCTCAGCATAGTTACATAATTACCTCTCTTTCACAACAGTATATTCCTACTATGCCTGCAATCATTTAAACATAGAATTATTCAACTAAATATTCACACTGGGAATTCACTCTTCGGAATCACTAAATGGCTGAGGTGGAAAGGGACTTCTGGAGGTCACCCTCTCCGACCCCCTTGCTCAAGCAGAGCCACTTCGAGACAGTTGCCCAGGAATATGTCCACATGTATCCATTTTTGTAGCATGGAATGAGAGAACATGGACTCAAAAAAGCTCCACAGCACAGTCACTGTTGCCCCAAATTTTAGAACAGTCATCACAAGTGTCCCAGAAATTCCAGAAAACATGGGGTGCAACTCAACAACACAGAGCACCAAGACAGTGACATTTACAGATACTCTTCTCCACAGAAATGAAACAAATATGGGACAGGACAAGAGCCAAAAGCTCTCAGGTAATTTACTGGGTTCCTGCAGGCCTCTGCAGACTCCAGAAGGGTTTCCATACTCTCTAGATGAGATGCTCACCTGGAGCTGGAAGGAAGCAACCCAGACTAGAGTTGTCATTTAGAAATCCATCCACTAAGACAATTTTCCCAAGCTACATTGAAAGTTACTATCACAGGCAAAACCCTGAAGTGAAGCATATGAACCTGATGATAATATTATATTTATGGCCCAGGAGAATTCAGTAGACTTTCTGCAACTACTCAAATCTAAGAAGGTTCAAAAAAGCCCCACCTTAAAAATTATACAGATCAGTTCCCAAAAATGAGAAAAAACCCCACTGACTCAAAGAATTCGATTTCTCTCATGTGGCAAATAGCAAAACAGAACATTTATGAGTATAAACAGACTATTCCCTTCTCAACATGGAGAATTACGAAACAAAGGTAAAAGGTGTTCATGATCCCAAAGAAACCTATAAAGATCCCACTTATTTCGCAATGTAATTCCAAGTCCTGAGTGACTTGCATCCAAAAAGAATATCTATCAAGTTCAAGCTCACATTTCCCAGACTGCAGCAGGTCATCATCTCCCAAGAATAAAACATCCACAGAGTAAAACTAAAAAAAAAAAAAAAAACACACCCCACCCACAACCTCCTTCAAAAATAATTTACCCATTATTCTTACCATGTCAAACTCCCTCACTTCTGCAAAGCAACAATCTACACAGCAGTTGAGCATAAGGATCTTAAAAAGGTCTTAAAAAGGGCTTAAATCTCTCTCTGACCCTGTGCACACAGATGAATTGCACACACTGTAAAACAGGCTCTTTCTCTAACACTGTCACACGAAAATCTTGCTGCTTAGCTGTAAAGCCATGAAATTAGTCAGGCACCAAATGCTCTGGGGCAGAAATGATTTAAGAAAATCCTCATTCTAGCTAGCAGAATAGGTTTACCAGCTGGAGAAGTACACATCACCAATCCCCAGTGCCTTAGCCCTCTTCTAACTGTAGTCAATGATCCTACCAAGGGGAATCTCAGGACAGAAAAAGCACGTGAGGCTGCACAGGAGCAAGAACAGATAAACAGTTACATCCTCTCATTACAGTAATTCTTCTTGCCAGACAGTCTGCAATTAATACTTATCCATAAAAGAAGATCTGGGTGCTTGCCAGGTTCTTTTTGCATGGCCACAAGAAGGTCATCTGCTGGAAGAGTTGTCCAAGCCCAACATACTGCTCCTCTAAACCTGCTAGCATGCACTTGCACTGTGGAACAGAACTGTCCTACTAAGATAAAAATTGCTCTAACAGAGAAGGAACCTTTCTATTGCAGAGCTATTTAAAGATACACCTACACTGCAGCTTGCAGAGAAAAAAACCAAAGATAATCCTTTCTATCTCTGGGAACAGTAGGAAGACAGGCACACAGAGCACAATTCATCACGGACTAAGTAATTCCCTAGCTCCTGGCATCTCTTCTACAGCTCAGAGCTACACCTGGCACCTCCAGCCACACTTAACATCAAAGTTTGCTGTGACTGACATCAGACATACTCAGATTAAAGAGGAAGGGAAAAATTAGTAATCACCAGAGTGAGCAGACTGCTGTACATCCCTTACATCTCCACAAAAAACCCTCTGACCAGGCTGAAATCTCATGCTTGGTTATTGTTGCAAAGGTAACAAATCCAAACCAGAGTGTGGTATTATTTCCACGTTGTCTTTGCTAGACCAGACCTGCTTCACCTGCTTTTGCTCTCCTTCACTGTTTTGCAAAATGATACAAAGGTTGAGATACTGCATTTATACCAAATGCCAGAGCCTCCACAATGCACAGAACTCTGCCCTTTCAGCACCTTGCTATTCAACCAAGACATTAGGCAATTTATTTGGCAGAAAAATACAGACTTGTTATTTAGGCAGTTTTGAAGGGAGAATGGAAAAACATTAAACCCTGGGTATAAAAAGCACATTGAGACTTATTAGTTTACTTTATTCACCAACATAGTTTGAAATCCTATGGATTTCAACCACTTCTACCATTTAAGAAGCCACAGGAGTCACAATCTGCATCAGAGCTGCACAATCCAGTTTTAGACAGTTTTAGGTTGACCATGACTTCTTACAGATGTGTTTTAGGCCACAGGAGGTTTTCTAGTCCTGAGCCATGTCAGTCCTGCTTGAGGCCTGCCCTAAGGAATGGGAAGAACCTTTCCAGCCCTATACTTTTATGTATACAAAACACAATCATATTAATAAAATTATATGATTCTATGATAATATATCTCTGCCTCTCCTCAATATAACATGAAACAAGAATCCCTTCATTCATTTCAGCATGCAACAAAAAACCCCAACACTTTGATAAACACCATAAGAAGGGAGGAGACAAAATTTCATCTGGTCACAAAGACCAGGAAATAAACAGTCCAGAGCCTGTCACTCAAGCCTCGGTTCTCACCTCATCCATCTCCCTAATCCATGACTTTCTTCTGCAAGTCACCGAGACACAGTAAATAAAAGCCTTGCCCTGTCCAGGCACCTTTGCTCTCCAACATAGTAAAGTCTTTTAGGAAACATTCTTTGCCAATTCACCCAACAACTCTCTTTGCCTGTGCATGGTCACAATACCACAATAATGGTCTAAAACATCCATCCTCTCCCAGCTGGATTCTCCAAGCAGGATTTCAAAACTGAAACAAAGCCAAAACATTCTTTTTGTGAATTTATTTATTCCTCGCTTTGGGTTTGGGTTTGTTTTTTTCACATGGAGACAAATTGTTCCTGAATAGAGGACATGGAAAGGATATGCCTTTCAAATCCAGAGTATTAGGCTCTTTCTCTGCCCTGATACATGCCACACGAGAAAAACAGATTATATGTATTTTTAACTCAACAGCCTAAAGCTCTGCTAACACAAGCACAGCTAGCAGGTTTGAACAGTTAGACAGAAACAACTGATATCAAAAAAGCTGAATTGCATTATTCAGATAACAGTGTCAATGTCCTTGTAAGAATAATTTTCACCTATGCAATAAGTACTGCAACACAGAGTCCAGTCACCAATAAACTGCTATTTGGACAGTACAATTAAAGGTCATTTCTACTTATTTATTCAAGTGCAAGCAAAAATACTAATGCCACAAAAGAATAATTTATGATTCAAACACAGCAAGAAGAAATGTTTCACAATACAGTTCCTCACAGATTTTAGTGGAAATTGAGACTAGACTTGAGGAGTCTGTCACGTATCTCCTTCACTTCTGAAAAGCAATACGGCTGCCAAAAGTAAACAATTCTCTTTCCCAAAAACTCCTGTAGTAAAGAACATCTAGAATGAACAGAAGACATTTCCTCTCCCTTGGCAATACTGGTGCTTCCATGGCAAGCAATAAAAGACAACACCATTAAGTATCTTGCAGGCATTTCTTCCCAGGCACAAGGCCCTAGTGACAGCTCATGGCTGTTTGCATTGCTGTACTTTAGGAATCAAGAAATACTTCAACATGACAAACATAAACCATTCAAGGTGGCAGCATCTCCTACATCAGAAAATTACAATCCATGTTGGAGGCAACTGGGAAGGAATCAAGAAATACTTCAACATGACCAACATAAACCATTCAAGGTGGTAGCATCTCCTACACCACAAAATTACAATCCATTTTGGAGGCAACTGGTATGATCAAGAAAGGAAAAAAAAATAATCTTATAAGCTGCCCCCATCAGCATCGGCTTAGAAGAGACCAAGACTGAAAGGCACAGTATTCTGAGAATTTCTAACCAAATATTCTGCTTTTCAGTGTCTCTCTTGTTGCTCTGTTTTGACTGTCATGTATTTATTGCCTGACAGTTTTCCTTTGGCAAAGCCTTGGAACTGAGTTTGCAGACCCACATGTAAGAAATGCCAAGAGTAAAATATTCCTCTCTAATTTCCATGAATTCCAGTTCAGAAGTCTCAGTTCCTTGCACAAGTAGTAAATCATTGATTTATTTTTTTTTAAAGAGAACTATAAAGGTTAAATATTAGTAACTCATTAAAAGTCTCTCTAAGTCAATCAATTGCAAAGCTGAAGAAACCCTAGAGGTTTCTGAAGAAAGGAGCTGAAGAAATCCTAGTTGAGGTCTGAAGAAACCCTACAGGTTTCTGAAGAAAGGAACTGAAGAAAGCCAACAGGAGCCTACCTGCCAGACCTGAGCTGCAGTGATTACTGTACAATATGATTTTCATGTCA